AAAAAAAAATTTAAAGTGGCTATTACCTTTTCACTCATTCCAAATTTGGTAACCATCCGCTTTGCTATTTTAGTTGCATTGTCAAAATCACTGGAAGCACCTAAATTTAAAAATATACAAAGAACTCAATTTTTTAAAAAAATCTTTAAATCAGCAAGCACAATTTGAACTAAAGCCATTTGTTACAGCCAACCTGTTGTAATATGGTCAGTTCCAAATATCAGCTCCTCAGCCACTCTTCCACCCATACTAACATCCATCTGTGCAAGCAGCTGGGCTCTAGTTTCATTCCATCTGTCATTCTCAGGCAACAGGGACACCTAGACAATCGGAAACAAAGAAAAACTTTAGATACCGCTTGAAATATTTATATTAATAATCAGAATTACCATTTGGCTCTCACTATTGTACTTAAAATCATGATGCTGACAGCTCTGAGACAATCAGTAGAGACGATCATTGGGTGACTGATGACAAAACTGGCAGTACAAAAAATCAGAAAAATTATTAGACAGCAAAAATTCATTTTATATATGTAATAGATACATAACGCTGCAATAGGACAAACTTATCCCCGGGTACACATAAGTGCTTAAAATGTCTATCATTAGAAAGAGATGAGAATGAAACGTGTACTCAATGAGAAAAACCTTAGAAAAACTCTTGAACCACCAACACAGTTTCTCTGTGGAGGGAAGAGCACAAAGACATATTTAAGAATGATCCTTTGCTGTCACTCCTTTGTTGTCAGAATGTTTCAGAAGAAAGTGATCCACAAACTTGGGAATTAGTTGAATTTTCTTTTAAATTATTTTCATCAACAATTCCCTTCATCAGCTTTTGGAGAGTGCTATGTGAAAGGAAAACAAACAAATAAACAAACGCCACAAGATACTTACGTGTCCAAGCGTTGGGCCTCGTGGCATGATTGTAGCTTTGTTTATTGGCATTGCATCTTTAGTGTAATATGCAATAATAGCATGACCAGATTCATGATATGCTGTGATGGTTTTGTTTTTGTTATCAATTTCCACGCTCCTACGTTCAGGCCCTAAGGATAAAATTTTAATTAATTCACTCCATTAGGAAGGTATAATTAGACAACTAAAACCCATTTGCCTTTAAGTAATTCTTAGTGTAACATGACTTAATATAATTAATGAATATTTTAAACAACTTTCCAAGTGACAAACAAAATTGTAAGAGCTATCATCTTAATCCTTACTATCAACAAGGGAAGTTTAATTCTAGAAAATAAATGTAAATTTTAACAGGAATGTCCTAACTAACCTGTTTTGAACTCAATCAAGATTTAAAATCAAATACTGAAAATTAGTAAAATTAGTATTTATTTAAAGGTTATTTACTTTGAGAGAGAGAAAGATCAGGTCTGTGTGAGCAGGGTAGGGGCAGAGAGGGAGAGAGAGAATCCCAAGCAGGCTCTGTGCTCTCAGGGCAGAGCCCAACGCGGGGTTTCATTTCACAAACCGTGAGATCATGACCGGAGCCAAAATCAGGAGTTAGACACCTGACTGAGCCAGGAAGGCGCCCCAGTTAAGTTAATCTTTTAGCAGCACTATCAGATAAGAGAAAACACATGACACCCATGCCCCCAAACAGTATAATCATATAAACTGTATTTGTTCTTAAGAGGCCCAATTGTATGGCTATTTTTGAGTATATATTTTCTTGTTCCTGTACCTTTCTTTTTTATAACCTTTTTCTCAAAAAGAAGAATTTATTCTCTAACATAATGAACAGGGTGAGACAGGAAAAGAAAAAGAGAGAGGGAGAGAGAGAGACAGAGAAAACCTACCCATTAGAATTTTATCTTTGGAAAACTCTAGCTCCTTCATGGTAACCATTTCTTT